GGGGGGGGTTGCGGAAACATAGAAACACGAGTCAGGAGATTGCAGTCAATTGGTGAACTCTTCACATTTTACAGATCAAAGTGCAGTGACATCGCTGCCTGGGGATGGAAAAGGCTGGCGTTTTCTTTGACTCTACAGCACGTTAAAGCGCTTGACAGCCCATGGCGTGTCCGCCAGCACTATAATGAAGGAGACAATTTGCCCCAAACCAGGGTGAAGCATCTGGCCGCATCCTCCCTGAGTAAATCGCTGATGGAACCACATTGCCTGGCATTTCGTGCTCAGCGCTCCTTGTAACACATTTAACGCCAAACGTACGGTGCACTGTCAAATGTCTGTCCCCCACACCGTCCTTCCCATCAGTTTCTCTCTCTATTTGGACCCAAACACCCACCAATCGGTCAGGACTGTTTTGCAACCCAGCATTTACTGGGACTAGAAATCAGGGAAGCTCATATAGGCCAGATCTGTAAAATGTGAAGAGTTCACTAATTGACTGCAATCTCCTGCCTCGTAACTTTGTGGCACAGTGGTAGTGTCCCTCCTTATGAACCAAGGAGGCCCGGGTTCGTAGTTCTACCAGAGATGTGTAGTAACATCTCTGAACAGGTTGATGAGGAATTGAGTCCCCGGAGTTGGAGATTTGAAACACTCGCGCTCCTTGCGGTCCCAGTTTGCAGTAAGTGAGGAGTGCTCCTCGCTGGCACTGGGGGGAGATCGCGGTCACTCTGTCGGTTCTGAGCAAAGGACCCGGAATTCATGGGAACGGACAAAACCTACTCGCATTCTGGCAGCTTTAAAAAAGATTGCATTTTGCTGTCGGGATGCTGCGTTCGTATAGCAGAAGGTATTGTAATTCAGCGGTGAGAAGACAATCCGGACATACAGGCCGCTGCTGCTAGGCTCCCCGCTCTCTGTGTGAGGCCAGTGGTGAGGCAAGGAGCTTCCTCTGTCTCCCCTGCCCACTACCCCCAACACCTCCCCCCCCACCAACGCCCCAACCCGGCACCGGGCGGCGAGCGGGGAGAGGGGGGAGCCCTGTAACACTGAATGAATACACGGGGAGGGCAAAGTGGGTGCGTGTGTGTCTGAGAGGGAGTGGGCTACCAAGGATACCGTCGCATTATACGATCCCAGAGACTGTGTGCGTGGGTGTGTGCGTGTGTGTGTGTGTGTGTGTGTGGGGGGGGGGGGGGGGGGGGCGCGGGTTTGCAGCCCCTCTGTGGGGGGGCGTGGATGGGGGTTGTTGTTGGGCGGCGGAGGTGATTGTATCTAAAAAGAACTTCCCTCCCCGACAAGGAATACCAATGTCGCTATGGACCGTACCTCATCCAATCGCTCCCAAACGCTCACACATCGCACCTGCAGTTTGCGCCAATGTTGACATGGGTTCGCCATCTCGCCTCATCCGTCTATACCACCCTCCGCGCCACCCCCCCCCCCCCAACCCCACTTCCTTCCCCGCCGCCCGTGTTTCTTTTTATTTTCGCACACAGAAACAGAGATCGGAGCAAGAGTAGGCCATTCGGGCCTTTCAGCCTGCTCCCCCATTCAATATGATCATGGCTAACCATCCAATTCAGTCCCCTGTTCCTGCTTTCTCCCTTTGATCCCTTTAACCCAAAAACTATATCTAAATCCCTCTTGAAACAGTCAATGTTTTGTCCTCAACTGTTTTCTCTTACAGAGAATTCCACAGGCTCCCCACCTTCTCGGTGAAGACATTTCTCCTCATCTCAGTCCTAAGTGGCCTACCCCGTATCCCTAGGTTCTGAGTAGAATTCTGGCTGTCCTCTCAATAGGTCTGAACTTTCCTCCTCTCCACCAGCTCTGCTGCCTGTACTCACTGCCTACCACTGGGCTAATTACTGAGTGCCAACTCTCTCTCTCCATACTGCCAGTGCCTACCTCTGCTCAGGATGACCGTGTCCTGTAGGACCTTGCCCCCGTTCTCCAGAGTCGAACAGTTCCACCTCTGGTCCCAGAGTTGATGCTGACACTCGTGAATGGCGACTTGGATTCCCTGCACAGCGGCGGCGGTCACATCGGGGCTGCGGACACACAGGCCCAGCTGGCGCTTGCTGAGACCCGGCAGGGTCAGGCACACCGCGTTGGCCGTCAGGATGGGTTCCAGGGGGATCTTCAAGCCCAGAATCTCGTTCCCAGCCACTCTGAGGCAAACAACAACAAGAAGAAATGAACGCTCGAATAGAATGAGCAGCCTGTCCCCAAAGGAGAGGCACTTGACATCTCCCTGGCAGAGCACAGGGTGCCCATGTAAAGGTGGCGACCTGTAAGAATGGAACCGCGTTATCGCTCCCTTACCCGGAGAGTGTGAGCGAGATGGCGAGGAGGAGAGGGACGGGTCTGGAGATTCTTGGAGCAGCCATGCTGGGGAATTGAACCGGCGCCGAACAGTTCGGGGACGATGAGCGGGTACTAACCTCTACCCGTGCCCCCACTCCTCCCCCGGTCCCCTCCCCTCCTGTCCTCCCTCCTTCCCCCGGGACCGAGCTCTCAGATCCGGGCTGACAACGGTGCAATGCCGTGCTCACGGGGTCATGTTTGAACGCCCCCGTTAGGCTGTGGTTTACTGCCGCCGAGTCCGTCAGGATTTAAAACAAAAATCTCACTCAGAGCCGGGGGGGAGGGGTGGGGGTGTGGGGGTGGGGGGGGGGCGGTGGGAGGTGGTGGTGGGGAATCCCCACCTCAGTTCAAAGGCAGATTGAACCGAGATAGATCAGTCAGTCTCAAGTAGCTGCGCCGGGGATACCGCTGAGTGCTCTCTCGCTCTCTCTGGTTCTGTGTTTCACACTGGCCCTCACACTCACGTCTTACCCCCTGTTTCTCACCAGCCCCCAAAACAGACCCTGTCTACTCTCGGTCCCTCTCTCTGTCCTCTATCTCCTTCTCCTCCCTGCCGCACCATCCACTCCCCCCACCCCTCCCCACCACCGCCACAACCTTTTGATTCTCTCTCTCTTCCTGGATCAAACACGTTCTCTGTTTGAAACCAAACACTTTGATCATCATAAATACTCAAGTGGAATCTTTGAAAATTGAACTTCATTTGAAGTGCATCTGCTAAAGGAGGGAGCCAGTGTGACGTTGGAAGGTTATTTTTTGCAGTATGCGGAGAGAGAGAGAGAGAGAGAGGCGCAGGCCTGTTCTCCTCCCGCACCCCAACTTTAAACGCACCCCCCTCTCTCTGAATCATCGAGACTGTGATCTCTCTCTCTCTCTGTCCTATAAACGAGCGGCTGTGGCAGCCTTTAGTTCAATGAGAGCCACTGGGGCGGACAATAAAGGAACCAATGGAAACGCATTGAAGACTTGGGGGGGGAGGGGGATGGGGATATCGGGCACGACCCGAGATCCGGCACCGTTAATGGGCCGTTGATCCTCCTTTAGCCCCATCCAAAGTTCGAGCAGTTTATCAAAATATATGCTGAAGTTTTTAGCAATTGGACATTCACGCCGTCCATTGGTTTTTAATCATAATTAATAAACATTAATGGGTGATGTTGACATCAATTAAATGCAGCATTGTGTAGCTAAATATTTCAGATGCATAAACGGATTCAGTGCTTCAACGTGATCCCATCGCCTTCCCCATTCTGCATTCTTTCTACACATCCCATTATTGACCCTATTTCAGGGGCTGCGTTATTTCAAAACGCGCACAGCAAATACAGGACACCTGTGGCTACCGTTGACAGCCTCTGCAAATCAAAGCGATTCATTGCAGGAGAAACCCTACGAGAACTTTCCCAGAAACGTGACAACGCAAATACAAGCCTTTTATGTATATATATGTACATATAATGGGGACGCAGTGAGGCTGGAGGCGGGAAGGGGTGGGGTGCTGGTTGGGTGTGCGGGGTGGGGTGTGGGGGGGGGGGAAACAATCGGGAAATTCGCCAAGATCAGCCGCCTCGAAGAAAGGGAAGGTGTATATTAGAGGGGGAACGGAGGGGAGACGGTTTGCAGTACTGGGAAAACAGCAGAAGAGCCTCCGGGGCTCGCCGGCGAGTTTCGAAATGGCATAAGAAATCAAAATGTACCAGGTGCTTTGCTTCTGTATGGACATCTCCACTGTCAATTGCAGAGACCGCTACCATCTCTAGCTAACTTGTCTGTATACGCAGGGCGGCTGTGCACACTGACAGGGTTAGCTCAGCCTGGTCAGTCCCGCTCGCTCAGCCAGTGCCGGTCCGTTTTGAGGAGTATTGGCGTTCGCCCGCTCAGATTTTCTCACCACCACCCCCCAACTCCTTCCTGGCTCATTTCAGATCGAACCCACAAGAAGTCGCGCCAGATATGATAAAGCTATCTATCCAGGTGAAAAAAAGATCTTAGTTAATGCACTTAGACTGTAGTTGGTCTACATTACAGTCTGTCCCAGCTGGATGTGAAATAGGACCAGACTGCTGGAGGCTTCATCTCTCTCTATCTCTCTGCTCGCTCTCAGGAGTATAGCCGTGACTTTCTTCAGCACTTGGGCTACCACCACTCACAGAATAGCGCGGTTTGGCTCCAGGGGTAAGAGTCTCCTCCGAAAATTGGACTTGGCCTCAGCACATTGGAGCTTCGCTATTCCCTATTCCTGTCACATACTGGATCCCGAGATCCCAAACACAGCCTTCACCATTCCCAGGAAAGGTAGACTCAAAGGTAAAAAGAGGCGGGGATTGGTGGGTGGCTGGAGGTTTTATCATTGACCACATTAGCAGCCGCGTCCAAAAACGTGCAATTTTCAAATTGTAGCGATCAAGATATGCAAGCAGGCGCGCTAAAGACTCCAATATTGCTCAGTGCAGTGATAACAACGGGCAGAAGGAATGGAGCCCTCTTTGATGTGCGGTGAACGGAATCAGCAGTAGATAGTGACTTGATTTTGCGTGTGGAATGAGCAATGTCTGTGCACAGTTTAAGGCTCGTTTTGATGCTTAGTGTGCCCTTACTGGCTGCTGGACCGAGCCAATAAGCTGCCAGGTATGTCATGTTTCGTGAACATTTGAGCAGCTTCTTTAATGTCGTGCTGTGTGCGGGATGCTTTTCCGAAAAATCACATGAAATCTCCTGAGAGCTGGAGATACAAACGATATGTCTGTTCTTCTGGAATCTATAGCTGTGTACCATGAGTCATTTTCTGGCGTAAGTGTCCTCAATTTGCACTTTCTACTCTCAAAGCATCGCAATGGTAAGGGGTCAAAGAGCTCAAAGAGTTCCAAAGTGCCATGTGGCCAGTTATCCCGATCTGGTTCACGACCAAAGGACTGACTGAGTTGTCAAGCCCATTGATCCCAGTCTGTGTGCAGAAACAGGCCAGTGCATAAAGCACACATGCACACATGAATACACACACAGGCGCAACATAAACACACACACAGGCACATAAACACACACACAGGCACATAACCACACACACACAGGCACATAAATACACACACAGGCATATAAACACACACACACAGAGGCACATAAACACACACACAGGCACATAAACACACACACACACA